AAAAAAAAAAAAAAAAAAGATGTATGTATCCATTCCATTCTAAGCAGATAGCACATTACCGCTAAGTCACATGGGTGGCACGCTATAGGTATTCAGAAATGCAAGACTTAAGTTGTTCTTCATTTGTCTCTGTTTTTTTTTTTTGTGTGCTTAGTATATCACTTATATTAGGGATAAAAAGCACAGCTAGTTATGGCAGAAATGTGGAATTTTTTGAGATTCTATGTCGGTCATCTTGCTCTAGTTTTATGACCGTAAAATGTTTTATTTTATTTTTTATTTTATTTTTAAAGCAACTAAAAAACTGCAAATAATCATATTGTATTGTACATAATGTTGACTCACAGTAGTACAGCAGTTTTTGTTCTCTGTACAGTATGTAGGTCATAAGTGCAGTTGGATCTGTTCATACATATATTTTCAGAAATATGCAATGAACTCTATGGAGTCAAGAGTATAAGTTGTATATATGATTAATCTAAGTTTATTGTATTTTTCCCAATAAGCTAAAAAAAGAAGCACTGACTTTGCACAGGGAACTATAGTATACTGTACTTTTAGAATCGGTGAATATATACCAGCTATTTTCAGCCAAGCTCAGAGTCAGCAAAAATAAAGCACCGTTTGAAAGGGGTGGAATACAATACGTACCTGGGTTAGTTGATGACGACTCTGCTGCAGGAGGAGGGGTGTGAGATTGCTGGTGGTCCCCAGAGAGGAGTGTAGTTCCTCCGCTGACCGTTTCGCGCTGGTCAGCTGGTCCTGGACTGTTGCTGGAAGACCTTGAGCACTTGAAACCACACCGGAACACGATGACCTCAGTTGATCGCTCAGACCACGTACCATGGAAAGTGCCCGCCGTTCCAGCTGCTGTGGAGACATGGCGGTATGTAAATACATTTTTAGATAAAGTCAATAATCAGTACAGCATTGGCAGTGTCATCAACAAAAATATGATGTGCTTCAGAATTATGGTACTATTTGAAGTTTTTTTTTCTACATAGAATTTATTTAATCCCCTTCTACTACTTAATTCTTTACAGGATCGGGGGGAAGAGGGGGAGGGGTCTGGTGCTAATCTGAGAAGTTAATGGGAGAGTTCACCAGTCCACATGGTCACTTACAGAGACAAACAACTATTCACACTCACACGCGGACCATTATGTGAGTGGAGTGTCCAATTAACATACATTTTTATTTTTCAGACTGCAGTAGAAAACAGAGTACCAGGAGAAACCCATGCATACGGTGGGTGAAACCTGCAAAGTCAAATGAGTGAAACCATGATCTGGTGCTAAGGTCACAGCACTAAACATTTTTTCCACCTCAACACTTTATCGAATTATCAAAGGAGATCGGATACCTAAGCTTAAATGCTTTGCGAAACACGTCGTAAACAAAGACACTATCACCTCGGCAACGGCAGCCAGCGGCATGTTGGAAAGAGAAGAAAAATATTGTATAGGTATCAGTATTTGCAGATACTTCAAATTCAGTATCGGACCATCAGGCCATCCCTATTAAAAAAGTAATGAGAGTCTAAATATTTCATATTTATTTATCATCATAAAAAAAAAATTGAAAAAAAAAAGTGTTTGGTTTGATGAGAAGCGGGAAGGCTAAAATCAAGTCCTCAATAATATAATATCAGAAAAGCTCTTTATATACAACACTACAAGTTAAGATGAACCATCCGTTTAACAGCTATTTTATTTTGCAGAAGTTTGTTCTACGTCTACGTGTTATTCCCTCTCCGGCATATATATTTTGAAACGTCAGCAGAAATGCAACCGAAAAAGATATAATTAGTTCCACAGCAGTGTTTTCCTGCACTAATGTTTTTAGTTCATGGGTGAACATGTTGAAACTTTGTGGAAAGTACAACACAAAGTCAGATTATATATATATATATAAAAACAATCCTGAAATGCCTGATTGTATAATCATAACATGAGGACATTTTACAGTCGAGGCTGCATGTGACCTAACCTCAGTTTCATCTTTGGTCTCATCGGGCTCTGGCTCAGTGTGTCCAACTGCCGCCTGCTTCTGCTTCCATTCTGTCCATCGCTGGAGAAGCTGCTCCGACACTCCGCCTAACTGATTACTGGCCTCTCTGGACAGGCTGGTGCGGGCACTTTCCAGCAGGTCTAGAGTGCTAGTAATCTGAGCCACCGCAGCGTAGGTGGCGTCCCTGGCGTTCTTTGCACGGACGAGGGAATGATGCAAGGCTTGCTCCCGGACTTTAGCGGAGAGTTTACCCAGCCGGACGAAGTAGCTGGGGCTCTGTGATGGTGTGTCCACGTCACTGGTGGCAGGTTCAGCCAGAGCAGCTGAGATGAAAAATAAAACACATTTTCTCTTAAACTCTTATTGTTCTAGAACAGTCGTATTGCACTTCCATCTTTTCTTCCTCCGAGATCGAAGTGTAATAGAACAGAAGTCCCTCCTGGAGGACAGAGTGCAATGGATGAAGACGAGTGTCAGTGGTGATTTGTTACTGAAGAATAGCAGCAAAGTTGAAAAGGAAAGGTTTCCATAAGACAGTAGTGAGACCTGCTATGACGTAGTTTAGAGACGGTTGTTATGTAAGAGAGACAGAAGGACGGAGTTGGAGGACGCTGAGATTTTCACTGGGAGTGAACAGAATGGACAGGATTAAAAATCGGCAGATCACACTGACAGTTAAGGTGGAAGAGTTTGAAGATGAAGTTGGCGATGCGAGGTTGACATGGTTTGGACATACAGTACGTACCCAGCTCGCTCTCTGTTACTGGTAGTTTCTGGTTGACCCAGTCCTCGGTTCGGCTGAGGGCCATGTCCATCCCACTGCTGACCATCTGGCCCATCCTGGTGCCCATGACTGTGCTGATACCACTGCTGACTGCTGCCTGGGTCAGTCCAATACCACCCATCACTGCCCCCATCACAGCATCTTTGGCGCTGGCCACCGACTGGTATACCATGTCAACCGTGTTTGACAAAACCTGGGCACAAAGGAGCAAACGTAAGCACTGAGAGTGAAGCAACTCTGTTACAGACAGAGCAACAGCAACATGTAAATAAATACCACGTTTAACCGAGAAGAACACAATCTGTCAAGTCCAATTGTTGGTGTATACACATTTTTATCTAAGCCTCCACTAAAAATCAGTGACAAACAGCAAGTACCACATGAGAAATGTGGGTCCTTTAATGTAGAAAAAAAAAATGACTCAACTGCGGTGCCTATTTTTCATGGCATCCATTAATAGTCGAAGCAAAAAAAAAAAAAAAAAAGAAAAAAAAAGTGGGCCAGGCTGGTCTTTGTTCCCGCTGAAATAAACTTCCCAGACACGGCAAGTTTATTTTTTCACAAACACTACATCAAGAAACATAGCTGCTGTGAGAGAAATGTGCCACTGTGGCGCCACATCGTTGTGTTCCCGTGGTTTAATGAGGAGAATGTGTTTATTTGTTTGGGCTGCAGCACCACCACAGACAGCACAGCAGCCCTGCATGTTTCAGTGGCAGGAGAAAGACTCAAAATGTGACAGATCTTAAATGCATGTTAAATATGTTGAATTTTTTTTTGTAAATGCCGCAAAAATTATTAGTTCTCACCTGCTCGGCTGGTTGTTGTAGAACTGGAAGATTCTCTTCCATCTCGTTCAATTTCTTTAAGGTATACTCATTTATTGTAGCAACTGAAATGCATAAAGAACATCATATTTGAATACAAAATAAGAAACACAGAGCAGCCTCGATTTATGTCAGAATTCCGTTTCCACGGCATGAACTAACTTGTAGTCTGAACTCACACGGCATATGTAAGTAAACTTTTCCAAATTATATAATTTATTTATATTAACATTATACTTCCGCCTTTTCCCTGCAATACCCATGTTTCCCCAATAGATGGCGTAGACAATACTAAAAGCTTTTTAGCATTTTAGCCTTTATGCATGACTTTTACATGTCATTTATCTTAGTTCACCCGAACGCTGTATCTATCTACTCCCGACTTGCCCCCCCAAAAACCCAAAACATTTTAAAGTAATTAAACTTTTCTTGTTTACAGTACAAATGGAATGAAAAAAGATTTTTGTCGTTATTCAAAGAACAGCATCTACAGGTCTCTTTTGGAAAGCTTAATTTATCCAAGTTGACAGTATATATATTTTTTTCCTTGTGATTGAACATATACGATATAACATTGTTGACAAGGACAAAAACTCACTCTGCGGTTCCAACATGTCCAACAGGGGTTTGGACCCGGTGGAAGCGGCTGCTCCCAGGGTCCGGGCGCCACTCTCAGCGACATCCATCACTCCCTTCAGCAAGGGCACGTTTTCCTTGGTGCTGCTGTAGGCATTGGACACCGCCTCACAAGTTGAACTGACCAGTGGCAGGTTGCTCACTCGAGAAACAACATTCTTGATAGAAAACAAAAACAATCCTTGTTCGCTCAAATATAGGTAATGATTAATGCGTTTAAAATAAGGAAAGAGTACGATGACTTTACAATTATCTAGTCTCGAAATCGCTTTTATTTTGAAAAACGGAGCTACTCACCTGCTGGTCCTCAGTAGCTGCTTGTGCTGCTTCAGCTCCACTCGGATTCGTCTGTGCAACGTCTGCCATTGTGACTGAAACTGGATTTAATCTCTGAGATAAAATACATGAAGACAGACATTCAATCGCCTAATGCTGCATGACCGTCAGACTTTGCTAATGAATTTAAATGACTGACCCCAAGCACAGAACTTTTGAAAAACGTTTGAAAAAAAAAAAAAGAATGATCCCAATTAGATGGTGTGGAACAGACAGAAAGAAACTTTAACATTAGGAGACAATGAAGGTCATCTGTGCCTAAAAAATATGTATAATACATTCAGCATATCTCTATGCTAAACAATAATGAATAAGAAAAACAAGATGTCATTTTCTGTAAGGATCCAAACTACAAAGTTTTGCACCGATTTTTTTTTTTGCCTATTAGTAATAGTGTTTGGAAAATGTGTTGTCAATAATTAATATTTGAGGAGTGACCTGCCAGGATAAATGAAGTTGACGTAAACTCTAACCTTTGACCTTGACCCAGGTGAATAATGCCAGTAGGTCAGGGGTATATACCTGCTTTATTTGCCCTCCTTTTTCAGGGTGGTTCTGGTATCTAGTCACTGAGGGCTAGATACCAACAGGCAGATGCAACTGAAGAATCCTCTTACATTAGAGATGGATCTTGTTTAAGAAAGCAAGCCAGACCAGTTTCCTCCTTCAGAACGTCTTAAAGAGAGACCAAAGCTTGGAAAAATAAAATGTTCACGCAAACAGCAAAAACAAAACACAACAGCTATTCCATGAAAAATCTTCTACCTTGACCATTAATGCTGGAGATTTTAGAAAAGTCAGTAATTTATTTTTTCGTCTTTCTCTAAAAACTCCTTTGACCTGGGCACGTTGTTATACTATAATTCTTTCACATTATTTTCTTCTTGAACGTTTAATTATTCTGCCTTACCCCAGACGTACTCTATAAACAGTTGAATACTTTATTTCACACAATGGACTGAATACTCGCTCTGATATTTTCATTTCTGGAGCCGTTCATTTTTATGACTCCACCTGATTGCAAGTTTCATCATGTTGCAACAGCTGTTTGTTTTTTTTGGATAAACTTGCTTTTCGTCTGAGTCAGATGTCAAGAATGCTGTTTATTCCTCCATCTTAACCTCTGCTCTCTGGTATAAAGTTTGTGAGATTGACCCAAAACTTGAAAACTGTTGCAACACATGCACAAATTTTCAACACTCTCTGAAACCCGAACTAAATGGGCAAAAGGTCAGTCCAGCAGGATCCAACACTGTTAAGAGAGCAATCTTCTGTTCTCAGAAAAGGAAAGCAACTCATAATGAAATGGAAACCAATATGACAGGGTACAACGTGCATTAAAGAGCCTGTAACTGTCCCTTACAGAATGTTAAAAACGCAGACTTTTTTTCATTTTAAAAAGACAGCAAAATTCCATTAAATCATGAGGTTTACATTTATAAAATGTCAGTTAAACACACATGTATGTATTTTTGGTGGCAGCTGTGGAGACTGCTGGGGCAGCAGTCTCTTGATCCGGTAACGGATAAGCGGATGAAAATGGATGGATGGATAGTTTGTTATATTTTTGACAATTGTCATTATTCAAAAGTTAAAGGTTAGTCGGAGAATTGTGTCGCCGGTCCATGGCTCTTAATTATGTCTCAAATGTCTTGTTTTTCACCTCAACTAGGAAAGTGAGTTCTGCAAAATGTGCGGTTACGATTTGTGGGTAGGAAACAAATTTTAATGTCTAGTTTCTGCGATCCAGACAGAAGCAGACAGACAAACTGTGGCTGATGTAAGATCCACAGTAATAATAACCCGCCTCTGGGAGCAGAGCCCAGCAGCTTCCTTAAAGACACAATATTTGGTAAATGGTATAGTTGCAGGGTGCGATGTTGTTGATTCACATTTGGGTTGAACATTGCTATTCAAAATCACTGAAGTGTATCAAAGCAGAATGCATCATCTCTGAACAGATTATCAGAATGATCCCATCAAAATGCCAAAGGTCTATGTTTTATAAACGCGCTATTCACCTGTAAAGTTCTTTCCTTTCTATAAGGTTCTTTATAGACCGTGCACCATCAGTGTTGTTTTTGACGGTGTTGGTACAAAAGGACTTTTATGTGTAACGTGATCACTGCTAACATTAAGGGGAATTAAAGTTCTGTTGTTGTTGAAGTGTAAATGATATGACCACACAGAGATTTGTAGGGACAAATCTACAGATAAAAACTTGTATTTATCTATTTAAAAAATATTTATTTATTTAAAAAAAAAATCCAATATAAATAATTTCAGCAGAAAAAAGCTAATGTTATTTGGGGAGTTGTTCAGCTAAGACAATGCTAAACAAAAACAAAAAAATATGTTCGTATGCAGTTGTACATAACAAAAACAGGTCATTTTTGGTACTGGTAACATCTATTCACCACAAGTTTTATCATGACCATTCATATTTGCATCAGTCCAAGGGCTGTGCAAAAAAAGATATAGAGCATTTAAATCAACTTTCACGTTTGAAAGAAAATGGTTAAGAGAGCCAGCTCAGTCCCAAATTGTCCCTTAGAGATGTGGGAGAGAGGAGGACTTTAACCAATCTAAAATCCATTATGGACAATCCCTCTCACCCTCTGTTTGATATGTGGGAGCGCCGAGCAGCTCTTTCAGCAGCAGAGAGAACTGAACGCTTTCGGAATTCTTTCCTCCCATCAGCCACCAGACTGTTCAATGCACAGCTATAATATTGTTATGGTCTCTCAAAATATTACAATTTTTTCAAGTCATAATGTTTGCATATACCAAGCATGTACATAGCTACACTACAAATTGTTGGTATTTTTATTTTGTTCTACGTGCTCTATAATTTCAGTCGCTTTATTCTTTGATGGAAATGGTCACTTTTCTCACCTTGTAAATACCGTGTCTACTCTGCTGTTACTTTTACTACTACATGTCTGTTGTAACAACTGAATTCCCCAGGTGTGGGATGAATAAAGTCTTATCTTATCTTATCTTATCTTATGTCCTGCACCTAGAAAAACAGTTGTTGTTTACAATATCTGTCATTAACACTGTGTTGTTTAGAGATTTTACAAGCGCTTTTCCAATTATTTAATATTCAGTATGTTTTAG